CGGCCACGCCCAGGCCCGAGGCCACACACCAGCCCCCGGAGAGGCAGCTGAACGTGGAGCAGAGCCCTGGCCGCGCAGGCCCAGGGCGGGGCCGCGTAGGGCCCTGGGGGCTGTGCAGGCGCCGTCGCTGCGCTGCGCAGGCAGATTAATGATTTTTTTTTAAACTGCACATCATAGGATGGTTCTTCCTTGAGTAAGGACAGCCTATGTCCCGAATCCATGGAACCCCCATTTCTCCGGAGGATGACGTGCTTTACAGCTCCCTGGGGATGCTCGTGTATTCTATACCAGATGTTTTTGCTGAAGGCCCTCTTTACTCTATCTTGATTTTTGTGAGTGTGTTTTGCCTGTTGTATTTAACAGCTTCCCTAAAAGTGATTGGATCTTCGCACCCCATCCTTGTCAAAGTGGGAGAGGACACACAGTTAAACTGCTCCCTGTCCCCTAAAGCCAATGCACGGGGCATGGAGGTGAGGTGGGTCCGATCCCACCGCTATCCTGCTGTTCATGTGGATGTGGATGGGGAGCCTGTGGCTGGAGAGCAGATGGCAGAATACAGGGGGAGGACGACGTTGGTGAGTGATGCCATCGATGAGGGGAGACTGACCTTGCAGATACGCAGTGCTACAACTTCAGATGCTGGGCAATACCGGTGCCTTTTTGAAAAAGATGGTGTCTTCCAGGAGGCCAGTTTGGATCTGAAGGTGGTAGGTAAGCATTCTAGATATGTTTTGAATTGAGCTCCTTCCCTACTGCTTTAATATGCTGTTCCCTAAAAAATTTCTCAGGCTCTTGAAATTTTCTTAATGTCCATTTACTCATCAAGTTTCCATCGAATCTTCCACTGTGAAGAAATTGTTGTAGATAATTTTCAGGGTATAGAATTCAAATTCTTCTTTGTATCTCCATAAAGTGACTGCATATTTAGGGAATTTTACCTATAATTTTACACAGGACCATTAAGATTATGGGAAACATGTAAGTACTAGAAAGTATAACAATTAGAAGATAAAACTAGATTCACCACATTAAAAAAAATAGTGGTTAAGAGTCTTGGCAAGGATAGAGGAAAAAAGATAAAATCATTTTCTATATCAGTGTCCCACTGTCAGTATTTGTGAGAACTGGTTTTCGAAGGTTAGCAAATACCATTGAGGACATAGGCCCAAAATCTATTGGATAGTCTACATGTTTCTCCCATACAGTTTTAAATCTAAATTAATAAACATATTCAGTTGACATCTATAGGAGCATACATAGGTTGAAAAGTTAATATTCCCTCATTTATGCCAGTGGACATTGATATTTACAAGGTTTGATCTTTGAGAAAGTGATCTTCCTCACTATCTTTTGTCCTGACCATGTGATCTTTACCCTTACTTCTTGATCTCCCCCAGGATGATTTAGGAATACAAATAAATAAATAAATAAATACACAAAACAACAAACACTCCAACCAATCTCATCTTGAAGTAAAGTAGGATTCTTCCTTAGACTCTGCTCTCCCCTCCAGGCCCCTGAGTCCCTCCTCCTTCTCAGTGAAGTCACTGAGCACACAACTACTGGAAGGGATTCTTGATCTCTGTTCTCCAGGTCTGGGTTCTAACCCACTGATCACCAAGGAGGGGCTGAAGGATGGAAAAGTAGACTTGATGTGCACTTCAGATGGATGGTTCCCGGAACCTCATGTGCAGTGGAGGGATATGGAAGGGAAGATGATACCACCATTTTCTGTGGCTCTGAGTCAAGGCAGAGATGGGCTGTTCCATGTGAAGACATCTCTGTTGGTTACAGACAGCTCTGTTGTGAATGTGGCCTGTGCCATCACCAACCCACTTCTGAATGAGGAGAAAAATGCAACATTTTCTGTCTCAGGTTGGTGATTCCATACGTTCTTCTCAGGTTAGGGAAATATCAAAATCAACCTAAACTTACTCATTTTATCACTCTTCTCAAATACATAAACACACACACACACACACACACACACACACACACATATTTCTTTTCTCCAATGACGTGTACTGGTATCTCATGCAGAGCTGAACTTCAGAATAGCAAGGGCTGCTTCTCTGAGTTCCTCCCTGACATTCCCAACTAGAGCCCTAAAGTTTTATTTATTGTTGAATATATACTAAATTTTAAAAACTGACTGTATGTACAAACTCTCTTTTGATATGAAAACAAGTCAGCACACTGTCGTCTCCTTCTGTTCTGTCCCCCCCCCCACCAGGATGGCTTTTCTTCTGGATTAGAAACTAATTTTCCTTACCACTGTCTTCATGTTTGTGGACTGGTTAGTTTTATCCTTTTGCCATTCTCGTTATTTCAATGATTGTGTGCTATAATTGTAAAAGAGAAGGGAAAAATGTGTATGTGTGTATTTTTGTGTGTGCATTTATGAGAGAAACAAATGCTGAAGTTTGCCATGAATTCATAGTCTCTTCTCAGCTTCCACAGAGCAGGGAGGAGCAGGTCAACTGCCTCCTTGAGAGGTCCAGTTCTTATCCTCCTTTCAGTCTGGTGGCTGCTCATACTAAAAGGATAATCTTGATATTTCCCAGTTTCCAGATTTAACAGTACTCTGGGGTTTCCCTTTCAGAGTCCAGGACGCCTTTTTTAATGCCGATACTGTGTATTTTGGTACTGCTTCTTGTGCTAAGCCTGATCTGGAGGAAGAAACATGTAAAAGGTAATTAGGTGGAGCGCACTGTGTGGTGGGAGCCTAACCAGGCACTTTCCTTTTTCTTCCTTTTCAGCATCATGTATTGGAGGCATTCGGTGAGTATTTAGTATTAGTGAAATATAATAGCCCATAGTTTATATTCGTGTACTTGAGGCTCAGTGATGAATGAGACCAGAGTTTACAGTGATAATACCGGCAAAAATTTTAAAAGATTACAATTTGATTCCTACTGCCATTCTCCAGTGATCTACTTCAGGAAGAGGAAGAAGAAGAGTCATGTGTCATAATCACCTTATTTTCAAGGTTGACAACTGAGGTTTCACTAAGATTCTGCTAGCATAAACAGTTCACGAAGATCTTTAAAAATGTGACCTGTATTGGTGATTCCTGCTCTGCTGATAAAGGACTACTTACATATTGATAGGAGGCTGTTGGGTGTTCTAGAAAGTACGCTAGTTTTGATTTCTTATGTCACCGAAAATTTGCTTGTCTGGCTGGGCATTAGTAGCATGAAATTAATAATTTTAGTACTGATTTATTATCAAAATGGATTTCCTTTATTATTTATTTATTTTTTTATTTTGCAGTAAACGTGAAGCCAAATTCAAGTACAGCTTACACAAAACTGATTCCTTCTGAAGCAGACAAGGGTGTGACCCATGGACATTTGTACGACCAGACATCCCACAGAGATTCGACCACCAGGTCTCCATCTTGGCCCACGAGGGCTCATACCAGGGAAGTGATACTGGAAGGTAGATGTTTGGGACAGAAAGGGATTGATCATGAGTTTTGTCAAGGGCGATGTAAAACCACCATCTCCCTGTCTCCTGAAAATGAGCTCTGAGCAATGAGTTGCTATGGAAATGAATACTGGACCATCATCTCTACTCCAAACCTTGTCTTCCTAAAGGTGGCCCCAGGATAGGTTGGCATCTCCTTGGCTATGCCTGTGAACACCTTTCCTTCATAGCACAACAAATGCCCTATCAATACTTTGCCCCGAATCTTCTTTGGGACTCTATACCCTCTCTTCTTTCTTTAGTCCCCTGATGTAGGTTTTCCAAAAGTCTTTCTTGAAGTGCCTCTTAAGCAACTTCAAAATAAGAAATTTTGGTTATGAAAAGCAGGATTATATTCTGAGTCCTAGATCTTTTCTCTCCCAACTCTTTGAAGGGAGTTTACATGATCATCAAAGTACCAAGTGAAGATGCTTTAAACTTGTTTTGGCTTCATATATGATCTAGAAGCTGATCTTTTAAAATGTATCTTGCCTATTTATCATAATCTGATATCTGATGATCAAGGAGCCTTAGAAAATCCAACGCTGTTAAAGGTATTGGACTCCCACGTGGCCAACTGAGGTTCAAGCCCTAGACCTGGTAGTTTGCCTTCTCATTTTCCCTTTCACTCTCTTTGTCTCTCTCTGGTAAAATTTTAAAAAATAGTAACCAAAATAATTCCAAATATAAAAGAAAATCCAATGGAAAATACAATTTAGCTTAGAGCAGAAAATGAAAAGAATGACCAAGTATTTTATCAGTTTTTGTAAAATAGTAATAATTAATTGTCCATGTAAATTAAGCAGAGAAAACAAAACAAAAAGTTAAAATAGAATGAGACATAAAAACAGCTCAATATTAGCAGGTGAGAATTCTACTATTGAACTACCCATGCTCTAATTAAAAAAAAAAACTCAATATTGGAAGAACAATCTGATCACTAAAATACAATCTCAAAAAGTATTTTAAAACCTATGCTTTAGACTCTTTCATAAACATAATAGAAGATATGAATTATGAATTTTAAAGATTCTAATCTAAGAGAAAAAATGATGTATATGAGTATATAATATGCAAATGTTGATTTTATTTTTAGAGCAAAATTAAGTATACAATTTTAAATGAATGATTAAAAAATGAATGAACACAAACAATGAATACAACATATAGTAAAACTATTTTAAAGCCATATGAGTTCAAGAAGAAAAAGTAAAGTTGGAAGAAAAAAGAATGTGAAAAACAAAAGGCTCCTGAGTCTTTTTTTTAGAAGTATTTATTTAATTTTATATAGTATTACTATTATTTTTAAATTTGAGCCAAGAAAGAAAGAGAAAGAGAGAGAAAGAAAGTGAGAAAGCAAGCTGCCAGTTTCGGGACTCCAACCATGGTTTGGTCATGGTTAAGTTCAGAGTTACCATGTGACCTTCTGGCCCCTGGGAAAAGTCTTATAAAGTGAGAATGAGGAATATTTGCCAAGGACACTCTGCTGCATTCTCTGGCACCAGAGAGCTATCACGGTCCTTTGAGGCTCATTCATCTGTAGCATTCTAGAATTTTTCTTTCAGGTCATAATATTTTTTCTAGTTTAAAACTCATAAATTTATGTTTGAAACATATTATTCTACTGCAAGTGAAATAATATTTTTATATTTTGAATTTTTTCCAATTTCAAAAAAAAAAATGCACATAACATCAACCATCTTTTTAGCCATATGGCACAAGTTAGTGGTTTTCAGTACACTTATAATGTTGTGCAACTGTCGTCACTAGTTCCCGAATATTTTCATCATCTTTAAAGGAAACTCCATATCCATTAAGCATTCTGACATCATGTTTACCTATTCCCCTCTGTTCCCCTCCCCCCGGGCCCACAGTCCCTGGAAATCTTTTTTGTATCTATGATTACTATTTTGGATATTTTACATAAACGGAATCATAGAATGGTGTGTGTGTGTGACTTTTATTTTCAAAGCTCATCTGGTTGTAGCACTTCATTCTTCTTCTTTTTGTTAGGAGACTATTTTTAAGAGCAGTTTTAGGTTAACAGAAGAATAGGGTGGAAAATCCAGAGTTCCTGTATTCCTCCTCCCTCCGCTATAGTTTACCCTATTATTAACATCTTGCATGAATGTGGTACTTCTATTACAACTGATGAATTGATAAGGATACATAATTTCCAACT